GGATTTGGGCTAGATTCAGCTTGATCCTACAAGGATCACCTTCTGTTATCACTGATAACAGGTCGGTTGCCGATTCGTCGGTTTACGACTCAATTCCGATGGCTGGGGTGTTTCGCAATATGTTTTTGTCATCGTCCTGCGGCTTGGGCAATGTCCGGTACGGGGTAAGTTGCAAAGATGGAGTCCACCAGGCTTGGGCAGTGTCCGGCTGGGGGTCGTGTCTTTGTTTTCCTTTTCTCCTTATTTTCTTTTATAGTACGATAACTCGCCCTCCATACTCAACCTAAAAAGGCTTTAGCCCTGGTGATTTTTATTTTTTTGTTAAGGTTTCACCCGGACTTTTTTTGAATAACCATTTAACAAAAATACTGAGTACTTAATTATGGTTGGTTAGCTGGAGGTTGGGGCTTGCATGGCTAAAGCGAGGGGTATGAGTACAGAGAGTTATTGGGGTTGACTCCGTGTAGTGTGTGGACTTTGTTGGACTTTTGATGTGATTGTAGGTATGCTATGTGATTCGGATTTGGGATTTCACTGCCTGCGATCACACATTTACATATGGTTGTAAGGAGCCCCACTGTGATTGTGAGAAGTGGTCGTCACATACTTACCCCCTTGTATATATCGTCACAAACAGAACTGCCCGGTAAAACCGTAGGCAGAGAGAGAGAAGAGGACAACAAACGAGGGGCTGTGACAAACTGTTTCGTCGGAGCTTCACCGACTCATCAGGAGGTTGAATATACATATATATGTGTGTACCTATGTTGGAAGCTCGCATGGCCCAGGGGGCCAGCGTATTAAGGGTTAAGTAGGGGTTGAGGTAGGCAGAAACCCCCCGTCTCTTAATTGTATACTTTTTCGGAATTCTTAGTCGGACGTTGGTCCTGGGCCGGGATTCAAGGTCCTTGTCAAGGACATCCCAAGCCCTAGGCTCCACATGGAAGGAATTTCCCCCCAAGCTAAGCCTACTCGTCCCGCCAGCCAAGACACTCAAGCCAAAGACCTGAGGTCTCGCGGCGGCCGCACGGCTATTCCTTCAGTCGTGCAATATCGTGAGGGAGTAGACCCTCACGATACTTCGAGCCTGACACTTGAGTGTCATAAGAGGTACTCGGATCCACGAGGGACCGCTTGATTATGGGCACTACATAGTACGCCATCATTGCGACTGCTTGAGTACGCTTGCATTGCGAGTCGATATGAGAAAGCCCTGCGTCCGCGCAGTTTTATACTAAGTCTCGTGCGCGACGCCTATCCGATTCCGCATCGAAAAGTTATGGGATGGCTACCGAGGGACTAGGAGCATTGTCGCCTTGTTTATGTTTTATCGTTTTGTACGTATGTTGCGTGTGTGTTTTATTTTTATGTTCTTTATAGTGGTGTGCGCGTGGCGTGTGGGATACGTCCTGGTCGACCGGCAACGAGTCGTGCTTGGGACCCCAGCCCCCCCAAGATGTCGGTTCGCGTGCGGGTCCGATAGAGGCGTAGTATCGCGCTTACCCCCTATGCTACAGCGAACGAGAAACGCCCTCGGCTGGTCCACCTCTGCGATTGCAACTGATCAACTTTCGTACTGTGGACTGGTAGCTCGGGTGGCCGCGCGTACCCCCTATGCTACAACGAACGAGAAACGCCCTCGGCTGGTCCACCTCTGCGATTGCAACTGATCAGCTTTCGTACTGTGGACTGGTAGCTCGGCGGGGATACGCCCACCGAAGGGAGGTGACAAGTCCTGTAAGGAGGTAAGTCATGCCACGCGTAGGCCCTATCCTGTCGTAGGGGCTCGCGAGAGGTATGGCTGGCGCACTCGGCCGGAGCGGCTTGCGGAAGCTCCATATATGTATCGCGACGAGGAATGAGATCCAACTCCTCCGTGACGCGACCGGGAGGGTTCCGCGCTGCCCTTGAGTAGTGCCGGACCGATGCGCTCGACAACGCAGCAAGCCAAACGGACAAGCAGCAAAGCATGCGTGCTCTACTCCCGGTGGGTTGGCATGGTGACCGTGACCCAGTGCTTCGTCCAGGGCCCTTCAGAAAGCTCCGCCCATCATCTCCCAGATGCTCCACGTGAACATTGTCGACTCTCAAGGTTGAGTGCACTCGACACCTCACAATGAGAGCACAACCTCACGGTAAGAAGTGTCGAAGAGGGTAGGTAAGGTTAAGAGCAACGTACCTCAAACAGTTGCCCCCAACCACAGAGATAATCTCACCAGATGACCTGATGGCGATTGCGATGACCAGTCACTGCATCGACACAACCAGCATTGTCTCGCTGTTCCACCTCAGCATCAATCAACCACCAGATAGTTCTCATCACACTTTGAACCCCCAATGTACACACCACAGCCTTCCTGGCGATCCCCTCACCTCCTGGGTCGCCACTTTTTGTCTCCACCCTCCTCACTACACACCCCCTACGGCCTCACTCACCAAGCAGACCACATGTATGTACCGCATAAGGCAGAAGACAAACGCCAAATGAGCGCAACGAACCACAGCTCCGACACCAAATTGCAAGGAAGATGAGCAATAGCGAACTTCAGCAATCAAACAGCATCATACATATGAGACCAGATAGTCGTGACCTCGAACCAACAGCAGAATTGCATCACGAGTTTCACCAAATAAGAGCACACCAAGAGTTCATAATTGACGATGCAGAAATAGTCCCATCATCATCATCAACGAAGAACCAAAGTTGATATCCTATCTGGCGCTCGGCGCCCAGACTACATATGGCAGATCCTATCTAGCCTATACTACAATGCCGAAGTTGACGACAACAACTCTCCCGAAGTACGAGCAGATAGCGGCCAATGCCGCACGCTTCCAGCACCAGGTATGTCTCTCACCTTACTCACAACCTCGTTCCTCAACACACAGATGCCACTTGCACCCAAGGACCACCCTCCGCCTCACCCAGCTTACAGCAGCGCAGCTCGACTATGGCTGCCTGCTCCTTCCTGCTCGCTCGTGAGCGCGTGTGCAATGACTTGCTGATTTTTTAGTGTCGAGACTGACTGCGAGGCTGTATACTAACCGGTAGGGTTAGATTCATAATTTTGTTGGTTGAGGGCTAATCGAGAGACCCACCTGTGAGGAAATTCGTGAGGAACATATCTGTAATTTGGGAAAATACAGGCCCAACACTAACTTAATTTCCTACTGCTACCCTAACTGCGAATAGCAGACTCGGGCTACCCCTAATGGCCTATCCTGATAGACGGTCCTATAGCCTATAGTCGGGTCCGATAGAGGCCGAAAGGCCGAAACAGAAACGGTACCGGTCGATCAGTCAGTCCGGTCTAGGTCTAGTGTAGTCTATAGATAGGTTAGGCCCAGCGGTTCACGACTTTTGGCAATTCATTTCTCGCGAAGCAGCGTTGGAGAAGCCAAGCAAGTTGGTGGCGGTGATTGTCTGCAGGCGGCGTCCTGAGACCTCGCCGTTGACAGCAACCATAACCGGCCCAGTCTGAGCCTGCCATAGTTGGGGCATCCTCAACGCATCTACCCTTGGGGTATCTGCGTATGGCCGGGCTACATCGAGGCTCTACACTGTGTACTCGTGGGTGGTGGAAGCCATAGCTGCCTGTTCCTTCGTCATAGTTGCCCATCGGCACTGAAGACTTCATCGCAGGACCTGTTCTTCATCAGGGTGGTCGGCGCTGGCCTCTGGGAGGCCAATCTGATGTGGCGCTACGAACTGGGTGTAGGATAGAGAGTGGGGTGTGAGTTCTGAGAGTGGCGAGATACTGGAACAAACTCTATTACGATAATTGTTGAGTTGGGTCATCATCAGTGTAATTTCAATTGTGATCTTCGCAGGCTCTTTCTTGTGATTGGTTGTTGGGAGTTGTGTCAGAGAGTGAGAAACACTGTGTGTCTTCTCCCCATCTGTGCATGATTGTCTTCCGCTGCTTATTTTCACTTGTGTGCACTTTGGACTCTGTCTCCTCTCTCCCCTTCTCTTATGCATGTATGGGCACGTGTGAGATTGTCTGTGTGTGAGTGGCGATAAAATTCGTCAGACAACCAAGTTCATAACAGTTGGTATCGGAGCTGGGATTGGAATTGGAACACTAAGGGTTGAGCGCACTGAGGCATCTTCTTCATCTGGCGATCTACTGGTGAGAGTTTCATGGTGATTCATCTTCCCCAATACCGAGTCAGCAGGGAAGAAGACTTTCAGCGGTGGATTCAAGTGTTCAGTGGTTGCACTGAGCAAGCACAGTGAGCCTGTCAGGGCGCTTGTCAGGAAGTGGCGAGTACAAGGCTAATTCGCCATAGCCAACCCTGAGGGTAAGATTGCGAAGTACCCCAGAGTGGCAAATTACCCCTGAGGACATCAGGGAACCCTGAGCGGTATCATCCCTGGGTAGTGCTGGCAGAGATTGACACACTATATCAATCTCTAGAAGAAATAACCCCCTCTGGGGCTATTTTTAGCATAAGTGGCTACCAGTGTGGCATACTGTGCAGCCACACGGGCCCTGCAGGGCCCGTCCCGGACCTCCAGCCTGTTTCCCTACAGGGAAACTTCCAGGCTCTTGCCTGGAGGCTTCCTTCTGACAGGGCCTACAGGCCCCAACCTGTTTCCCTACAGGGAAACTTCCAGGCTCTTGCCTGGAAGCTTCCTTCTGACAGGGCCTACAGGCCCCAGCCTGTTTCCCTACAGGGAAACTTCCNCCTGGAAGCTTCCTTCTGACAGGGCCTACAGGCCCCAGCCTGTTTCCCTACAGGGAAACTTCAGGGAACTTCCAGGCTCTTGCCTGGAAGCTTCCGCAGGGTCTAGGCCAGGGAGGCATTGGCACGGCCAGCCTCCTGCACAGGCCAGCACTATAAAGGACTGGCCCGCCCTGCAGGAGGGGGGCAGTAGGCAGAGGTAGTCTTCAGGATTCGGCCGGAGTAGTCTTCAGCGCTAGGCAGTAGTGGTAGCGCTAGCTGTAGTCTTCGGCGCTGGGCGCCATAGTTGTAGCTGTAGTCTTCAGCGCTGGGCGCTGGTARGTAGTAGATCGYAGAGTGGGAGAGAGACTGGCGGAGGCCAGTGTTACTTACCTGTGGCGCCATCGCTCCAGCTCCATCTTCGTGGTACCTGCATCAAGGCGCCAACTTCACAGGTTAGTACTGGACATAGAGAGAGAGAGAGTTCTTCTTATTCCTCTTTTAAGTCCACCTTCTCTTCTCACCCTCTCGCCACCTGACTTCTCAGACCACGACAGAGAGAGACAGAGTTGTGACTTGAGACTAGACGACATTGGATCCAGACTTGACATTTGGGATTCAGACAGTTCGACGAGGGACTATTTGGGCTTGTGCCGAAGACTTGGTGTTGACGACATTCCCATCTTCCCCCCCTCCTCTTCGTCTATCCCCTTCCTCCTCGTCTGTGCATGTTCTGGGCTGGCGCTGTCTTCCTGTGTGAAGCGCCAGACCCATTCACACTATGAAATGATGATGATGATGTATGTTCAGGGCTGCATTACAACATTGATTGTTCGGATCACTGGTATCTAAGTCTTCCGCTGTACTATCTTATACTTTGTATTGAAAGGTCGGTTCTTGTTCTGGTCTGCACCTATACGGTATGCAACAACCAGGTACTGTGGCGAGATATTTTGGTGTTGGCTATCTGGGCGCCAAAGGACCAGATACAGTGCGTCTGAGTTGAGGGAGTGCAGCGCTACAGGATCCTGAGGAGGATCAACAAGTTTGGAGCAGTTCTGTGCGTGGACGTGTCAGGAGGAATATCTGGAAGAAATTGGCGAGATAAGGGTATCATCTGCCATAGCCAAATCTTCATCATCACCTACGAGATTCTTTGAAAGTGAGTCCGTTCCATGCACCTACCTGTATTAGAATGGTCTATCTGTCTGTCAGTGACTAGATGTGAAAATCGCAGACTGCATGACAGCCATAGCCATCTCTCCCCTACCTCTCTCTGCTCATTTCTAACCCTCTGTTGACTCTTTCTGATCCAAAATTGTTTTGTGACTGCTATACTGCATTGCGATTATTCTGGGATGCTCAAACTGTGAATTCTGTACTGGAAAGGTAGTGATACTGTGAACTGCAGTTTTGCGCTGAGTCTATTTCTAACCTGTGCTACCTAGGGTCAGTCATAACTTCAATTTTGTCCGTCAGAACTCAGTTCTGTCAGTCCCCAGTGAATCGCAATCCAAAAATAGACAATACTGTAGAATCGCAGAGTTGGATCTACAGTATTGCACTGGATACAGTGAAAACTGTACTTCGCCATACCCTAGGGTATGGCCGCCAGAGTCATCAGGGTCTAAACTTGAGTCTGAGTCAGGATATAAGGTAACTGTCTGCATCGCTTGTTGTAGTTGATCCCTCTTGTCTGTACTAACCATCTTCTGTCATTCCCACTAACTACCCTGGTTTTCTAGTGGGCTCTGGAAATCTAATGTGTCCCTGGAAGAGTAGTGGAGTGACTCTTCTAACTCCAGTGTGGTGCAGGGTCAGTAAAAGGAAATCGTGTGGATGATTTTGCTGGACTTGCTGTCTATCTGACACCTGACCCCAAAGACACCCTTCCAACCCAAACCGCTGATTGCCTATACACCCACCTGTTCCAGTGTCTGAGTTTTGCAGCGATTCCAGGGTGTCTGAAGGAATCTGAGTATCGCTGCACACTCAAGTTGCTGTTTTATTTTGTTTTGATTAAGTCTGAAACAGGAAAATGTCTGACCACGGGGCTCAGCAGCAGCCACAGGTGGAAGTTGTGATGAAGGTGGAAGGTCAACAGCCCTCCAGCTCCACTCCTCCTCCTCCACCTCTGACTGCTACTCAGCAGGAAAAGATGGAGCTGCAAGAACAACTACGGCGTCAACAGGAACGCCTTGCAGAATTGGAACGGCAGGAGGCAGCTGAGCTAGAGGCTGCAACAGATCATTCCAGAAGGGAATATCTGTTACAGCAGCTAGACAAGGCACTCATAGACGACCGCTGTGCCCAGGTGATCAAACACCTCGCAGAGATGGTCATCCTGGAGCGCAAGATCACTAATTCCCAGTTCACGAACTGGGACGACCGTTTTGAGCGTTTGGAGCGTCGGGTTGACGACCTGGCAGCCCAACAGTCAAAGATTATGGATGCAATTCAGAACTTGACTGCTCAGCTGTCAGCCGGCAAGCTGATTGCCCCTCAGCTCCCTCTGTTGAAACCCAAACCTTTGCCTCCTTCATCTCGTCCTTCCACTCCCCCTGGTTCAGCACATTCTTCCCAGTCACCATCTCATTCCCAAAAGGCCTCAGGAAAGGCCACTTACGCTGTTGTTGCTGCAGGAGACCAAAGAGGTCCCAAGATCCCTGCTCCCAACAAGTTCAGGGGCGATGACCCCAAGACTGATGTTGGGGACTGGGCTGCTGGGACCAAAGCCTACTTGAGGGGCTTTGTCTGTGTAGAGCAGACCAAGGTGGCGACTGTTCTGGGACTGCTGGAGGGACCTGCACTTAAGTGGGCCACCTCAACCTCTAGCAGTCAGCAACATTCCATGGAGGATTGGGCTTTTGGGCTTGGGGTGGACAAACTTTTGCAGGCCCTGGAGGACCGATTTGCAGACAAGGAGCGGGCCCGCAAGGCTGCTGACAGGATTGCTCGCCTGGGACAGCAGCGGTATAGCGGAACCCTGCAAGCCTTGTTTGCTGAGTTCGAGCAACTTACCTCCACCCCTGGGTTGGTCATGTCCACAGATGATCTGTTGACCAGCTTCTGCAGGGCAGCGCCTGAGAAGTTTGTTGTTGCATTGTACAGAGTTGGGCATAAGGACTGGAGGTCCTTTGGCCGTGCAACCCTGGACATGGAGGCAAAGCTTCATGTCCAGGCCCCATCCTCTGACAGGAGGAAAGGTGCCTTCCCTAGAGGTGGCAGAAAGGGAAAGGCAGCCTTCACTCATGCGGGGTCTGGCTCAGGATCAGATTCAGACTCCCAGGCTGATGCACCTTCAGCTGGGACTGGATCTGCTGCTGAGACAAATGTTGCAGCAGCCCTGACTCAGGCTGTTTTGGGAGTTCTGCAGCAGCAGAAAAAGTTTTCCCCCACCACAGCCTCAGCCAGTGCCAAGGGGAAGGAAAAGGGACGTCGGCCTTCCTCTTCTCAGCGCCCTAACTTGCCCAAAGACGTCCGCATGCCAGCTGACCCTCTCAATCCCTCCACACTCCCCTGGCATGACCTCAAGATCCAGGAGGGAGTCTGGAGAAGAAGAAAGGAGAGAGGGGTCTGTCTGCGATGTGAGGGACAACACTTTCTAAAGGACTGCCCTTACATGCCAGGCGCAGGGCACTCAAAAAATTGAAACAGACCCTGGGGACTGCAGTTCCCCCCAGTGCTGCACCTTCATCTACTCAGGTAGGTGAATCTGCAGTTGTTTCGGTTGAGACTGTATGTGACGATGTTTGTTTGGGGACTGCGCGGGCAGCATCCTTTTGTTATGAGGATCCTGACCCGGATCAGGACCCGGGGCAAGATGAACTTCAGTCACTTGCTGCCTTCTTCCTTCATCTGAAGGAACAAAAGAAGAGCAATTCTGATCTCATCTTACTTCGGCCCCTGATCAACCACACCAAGATCACTGGGCTATTGGACTGTGGAGCCACCAGGAACTTCATGCCTCCTAGTGCAGTTAAAAAGCTGCATCTGGGCATGAAAGTTCAGCAACTGCAGCAACCGCTGCTGGTGAGGATTGGTGACCCTACAATGCTCAGCATCAGGGAGAAGGTCAAGTGTATCCCTGTGACTTTCGATAGTGCTGGAGAAGTCGGACACAATCTGAACTTCTACATTTTCCCTGAGCTGCCCTTTGACTTGGTATTCTCTATGCAGTGGCTGAAGGCAATCAACCCAAGGATCGACTGGCAGATCCCAAAGGTTGAGCTACCTAATAGCCAGGGTGTGTATCAGCTATGCATGATTGTTGCTGATCACCACCCTAAGACCTCTTGCTACTTGCCTGAGAGCGAGAGAGTTTTACTCTGTCTCCCGCCAGTACGACCATGAGCGTTTGTTTATTGTTTTGGTCAAGCAAACATATGCTCCCCCTGTTTCCTGTCCTCCTGAGATACAGTTGGTTGTTGACAAGTATGATGATCTGATGCAGGAGCCCTTTGGATTACCCAACCAGCTAACCAAGCATCATATTGAGTTGCTGCCTGAAGCGGTCCCTCCCAAGGGCCGCATCTACAGGATGTCCCCTGCTGAGCTAGAGGAGCTCAGAAAGCAACTTGAGACCCTGACCAGCAAGGGCTGGATCAGACCCAACACTTCTGAATTCGGTGCTCCTGTTCTCTTTGTGCCCAAAGGGAACGGCGAGTTCAGAATGTGTATTGACTACAGGGGTCTCAACAAGATCACTAGGAAGAGTACAGAGCCACTTCCTAGGATCGACGACCTCCTGGACATGGTACAGGGCTGCACAGTGTTCAACAAAGTCGACCTCAAATCTGGCTACCACCAGATTGAGATGGCAGAGGAGGATGTCTACAAGACGGCCTTCAAGACCAGGTATGGGACTTATGAGTTCCTGGTCATTCCATTTGGACTTTGCAACGCCCCAGGCACCTTCCGGACAGAGATGCACCGCATCTTCAGGCCTTACCTGGACAAGTTTATGGTTGTCTACCTGGATGATATCTTGGTATTCAGCAAAACTGCCAGGGAACATGCGGAGCATTTTGGCTTTGGTTCTTCAGTCATTACGCGACGGCCAGTACAGGATCAACAGAGAGAAGTCCTATTTTGGAGTTCCCTCTGTTATCTATCTGGATCATGTAATCTCTGGAGATGGTCTGACTCCTGAAGCAGCCAAGATTGCTGCTATTCAGGAGTGGCCTCAGCCACAGACAGTGAGGGATGCCAGGTCCTTCATGGGTCTAGCCTCATACTACAGAAAGTTTGCCAGGAACTTTTCTTCAGTGGCTGCACCCCTGACCAACCTAACAAAGAAAGATACTCACTTTCTTTGGTCCCTTCCCTGTAAGTTGGCCTTCACACGACTCAAGAAGGCCTTGACTCATGTGCCTGTGCTGAAGTTACCTGACCCCACTCTGCCATTTATCCTGACCACTGACGCCAGTCAGTATGGCATTGAGCCAGTTCTTCAGCAGGATAATGGGAATGGTCTACGACCTGTAGAGTTTATGAGTAAGAAGATCAAGACTCAAAAGCTCCAGGACTCCACCTACGAGAAAGAGCTATATGCTCTTGTCTGTGCCCTGAAACATTGGAAACACTTTCTCCTGGGAAGGCACTTCAATATCTTTTCTGATCATTCCACTTTACAGTGGATGAAGTCCCAGGGAGAGTTGAATGATAAGCTGGCACGGTACATTCAGTTCATCGACATGTTTGACTTTGAACTGAAGCATAAGAAGGGCTGCTACAACAAGGTAGCAGATGCCCTCTCTCGTAGGCCTGACTCTTTTGCTCTGATCTCCTCCACTCACTCCTTTGGAGAGGAGACCCATTAGACCATTGCTCCTCTACTGCCTCAGGATGAGACTTTCGGACCCATTGTCAGGAATCTGCAAGCAGATCCTAATTCTGAACCAAGCTATGCTCTGAGTTCAGATCTGTTGTATACCTGCAGCAGAGGGGAGGAGCGTTTGTGCATTCCCCAGGACCGGCGGCTCAGGACACTACTGATGTCAGAGTGTCATGATGCCCGGGGACATTTTGGGTTCCTAAAGTCTTATGCAGCCCTGTTGCAGCGCTTCTTCTGGAAGGAGATGCGGAGTGATATGTTGCGTTATGTGGACACCTGTGAGCTCTGCCAAAGGAATAAGGTTCAGCGTAGACCTCCTTTGGGACTGCTCAAACCCTTACCCATACCTGATGGCCCTGCTGAATCTGTGTCGATAGACTTCACAGATTTAGGCAAGACCACCCCTCGTGGCATGCGTCAGGTTATGGTCTGCGTGGACAGGTTCTCCAAATACGCAGAGTTCATCCCCTTGCCAGAGGTAGCTAGGGTACCGGCTGTGAGGGCAGCCTTCTCTGAGAGGTGGGTCACACACCATGGACCGCCCACCTCTATAGTCAGTGATCAAGACCCCAAATTTTGCAGCGATGAGTGGCAGTCCTACTGTAAGGACTATCTGCACTCACGACTGGACATGACTTCTGGTCACCGTCCTGAAGCCAATGGTTTGGCTGAAGTGATGAAGCAAGTCTTACGTCCTGTCATCTTTCCAGATCAACAGGACTGGGATCTTCACTTGGCGAGGGTACAACTCATGTATAACATGTCTGTCCACTCCTCGACAGGGTTCAGTCCCTACCGGTTACACTGGGGACGTGAACCACGACAGCCTCTCGATGACATCATCGATAAGGCTAAGCCTGATCTGACACCAGGCACAGCAGAGTTCACCAGACGTTATCGACTAGATGTGGAAAGAGCCCGCGCGAACTTGTTCAAAGCCCAAAAGGCTATGATCGAACAAGCTAATCGCCACAGGCAGCCTTCCTCCATCCGCACTGGTGATCATGTCCGGGTGGCCAGTTCTGAGCTGTCGAGGGAGGAGGATATCTCCCCCAAGCTATTGCCACGCTACCTAGGTCCATGGCAGGTCCTAGATACAATGGGCGCTGATCCCTTCGGTCCGTCGTATGTCATCGACGTCCCCCTGCATCTACGCACCTACCCGGTCTTCCATGCATCCAAGTTGCTACCATTCACTCCAGCTGATGCATTCCCAGACCGGCCTCCTCAGTTTGGTCCCCCAATCCCTGGCAAGGGATATGACATCGACCGGATTGAGGACGAGTGGGGCACAGGCCCTGATCGGCAGTATCTTGTGAGGTCTGCATTCCAGTCTCCTTCTGAGAACAGATGGTTCTACAAAAGGGAACTTCTCAAGACAACAAAGTCTATTGTATTGCGATATGAAGCGGCTCAGAAGGGCAACCTTCCTCGCCGTTCACCTCGCCGACACCCCTAGCTCGGAGGTCCTCGCTCCCGGGGAGGGTAAGCCTGCAATGACTTGCTGATTTTTTACTGTCGAGACTGACTGCGAGGCTGTACACTAACCGGTAGGGTTAGATTCGTAATTTTGTTGGCTGAGGGCTAACCGAGAGACCCACCTGTGAGGAAATTCGTGAGGGACATATCTGTAATTTGGGAAAATACAGGCCCAACACTAACTGAATTTCCTACTGCTACCCTAACTGTGAATAGCAGACCCAGGCTACCCCTAGGACAGACAGGCCCTAAATGGCCTATGTTGATAGACGGTCCTATAGCCTATAGCCGGGTCCGGTAAAGGCCGAAACAGAAACGGTACCGGTCGGTCAGTCAGTCCGGTCTAGGTCTAGTGTAGTCTATAGATAGGTTAGGCCCAACGGTTCAGGACTTTTGGCAGTTCATTTCTCGCGAAGCATCGTTGGAGAAGCCAAGCAAGTTGGTGGCGGTGATTGTCTGCAGGCGGCGTCCTGAGACCTCGCCGTTGACAGCAGCCATAGCCGGCCCAGTCTGAGCCTTCCATAGCTGGGGCATCCTCAACGCATCTACCCTTGGGGTATCTGCGTCTGGTCGGGCTACATCGAGGCTCTACACTGTGTACTCGTGGGTGGTGGCAGCCATAGCTGCCTGTTCCTTCGTCAGAGTTGCCCATCGGCATTGAAGACTTCATCGCAGGACCTGTTCTTCATCAGGGTGGATGGCGCTGGCCTCTGGGAGGCCAATCTGATGTGGCGCTACTAACTGGGTGTAGGATAGAGAGTGGGGTGTGAGTTCTGAGAGTGCAAGATATTGGAACAAACTCTGTTACGATAATTGTTGAGTTGGGTCATCATCAGTGTAATTTCAATTGTGATCTTCGCGGGTTCTTTCTTGTGATTGGTTGTTGGGAGTTGTGTCAGAGAGTGAGAAACACTGTGTGTCTTCTCCCCATCTGTGCATGATTGTCTTCCGCTGCTTATTTTCACTTGTGTGCAGTTTGGACTCTGTCTCCTCTCTCCCCTTCTCTTATGCATGTATGGGCATGTGTGAGATTGTCTGTGTGAGTGGCAATAAAATTCGTCAGACAACCAAGTTCATAACACGTGAGTGCCAGTGAGCTTCAGCGTGCCAGCGCTTGCGCAGCATGCAGCCAGCACCCGAATGCCAAATGCGGAGGCAGGCCCTTTGTTATGGCTGCGCTGGGCCTTTCCCAAGAAGCTTCCGGTAGGCCCCGGTAGGCTGAGGCCCAGTCCGCACAACTCAGGACCTGGGCCTGTAGTGGTTGCTTGCGCCCAACTGTAAACAGCCTATGTTAGGCCCGTATCCAGCCCAGGGCCTGCCTTCAATACATTCAAACAGGCTGCCCAGGGCGTGGGTTCTTCCAACCAACTGGCACTGCGCAACTCCCTGAATTTCCTTGAGTTGCGTGGTGACCGAAATAGGGGCCCTCAGGCCCTCGTCGTGTGTTACATCCTGCGCCTGCACAGGAGGGCCATTTTTCAGGCCCTGCGTCCCTCAGGCTGAAAACCTGAAAACCAGGGCCTACACGCCCCGTGTCTGTTCAGCCCGAAAGCCTGAAAAACAGGGGCCTACAGACCCAATGTCGTTTCAAACTTAAAATGCCAATAGCCTTTTTAGCCTAAAACGAGGGGCCATTTCCGGTCTTCATCGGAACGACCGGCCCTGAAACTCAGGCACCGAACCAGGGTTTCGGGAACAGGCTATTCTTAGCCTGTTCCCACGCCAGCCTCAGCAGATGCTGCAGCGCCAGCCCCTGGCACACTTCGGCATTGACAAGAGCAGACTCCTCGGCTTGGCTCGCCCTTCACGAAGTCAGGAGGCAAGCCGAGGTAGTACATAGGGACTTCCCATGCACTTCACGGGGAGGCAGGAGGCAGTCAGTAGTCTTCAGGATTCAGCAACAGCACTCTGGAAGGAGCGCTGCAGGAGTAGTAGCAGCGTTAGCATTAGTCTTCAGTGTTAGGCGCAGTAGGTAGCTGTAGTCTTCAGCGTTGGGCGCCATAGCTAGGATAGCACTAGAGAGAGAGGGAGATGGGGCGGAGGCCATGGATACTTACCTGCAGCGCCGTTGCTCCAGCTTCGTCTTTGAGGTACCTGCATCACAACGCCAACTTCACAGGTTAGTACTTGACTCGTGACAGAGAGAGTTTTTCTTCTTCCTCTTCTCAGTCCACCATCTCCCTCTCACCCTCTCATTATCTGACTTCACTGCATCAACAGACTACGAGAGAAAAAGAGGTAGAGATAGTTTGGTGACATTTGGATCCACACTCGACTTTTGGGCTTTAGACATTACGACGAGGGATTATTGGGACTTGTGACAAAGACCTGGTGTTGACGACATTCCCATCTCTCCCCCTCTCTTCGTCTGATCCCCTCCTCTTCGTCTGTGTATGTCTGGACCTGGCGCTTCCTTCCTGTGTACAGCGCCAGGCTCCTTCACACCTTGTGATGGACACGATGTATGCTTGGTCTTCGTTCAAACATTGATTGGGCTGGTCATTAGCAGTCTAGCGTTCTGCTTCGCTATCTTATACTACGTGAATGAGGTCAGTCCCGGTCAGGTCCGGATTTGTATCTAAGTCTTCCACTACGCTATTCAACACCATTTCGTATGTATCATAATGCACATTGCTTGTTGAGATTCTACTTACACTGCATTGTCCATTCAATCATTTTTATCACATTGCGAATTCTCGGTTTTCTATGTACATCGCCTGAAGTAAAAAGAAACGACCAACTTTCAAGTGCATCAGGGACCATGTTAACCCCATTGCCCCACAACTAGCCCAAAACTGAAGTAAAAAGAAATGACCAACTTTCAAGTGCATCCGGGCTCAATATACTCCGGATGCACCAAAAACATGTGTTTCTCTTCCCCTATGCAATCCGTTGTATCTCGGTTGCATGGGGCCTTGATTTTTCTTGATTTTCTCTGCAAAATCGAGAGAAAATCAAGGTCCTTTGCAACCACCATATTCCAAAATGTATCTGGTCACGGATGTATCTCCCCAAGTGGTCGTTTTTTACCGTTAAGGTCTTTTTTTTTTTTTTTTTTTTTTTTTTTTTTTTTTTTTTCCCCCTCCCTTTTTGGACAGTAGGGACCTGCCAATCCCTACTTGTGGTAGTCCATACCGACGGCCAACTCACTCACTCCCTCTCACTCCTTCTGTCTTATTTCCTTTTTCTTTTCTTTTTCTTTCTTTTTCTAACATGCCAACTGCCAAATGGCCGTTAAGGCCTTCTATAGGCCCTTCCTCTTAGTTTTGGCCCTCCCTATGCCCATGGTGCAGTCCGTTACATCTCGACTACAATTGTGGCTCGCTCATGTTTCTCACCCAGTGACCCCTCATATTCCAATTTTCTCCCGGAGGCCTATTTCTCACATGGAGTCTCTATTGACTCCATTTTTTTTAGGGAGGCTGATCCGAGATTTTTCGGATTGCTCCCATACCTCCTTACTTCATGTTTTTTCACTTATTCTTTTCCTTTTGGTCTTCCCGTTTGCTCCCACTAGTGCTTGCACTAGTGGTGCCAATATTCTTAGCCGCCAAGATTATATTGCTTTAATTATTTTTCGCTCATGCCACTCCACAGTTCTTCTTGAGGCCTTCTCATATCCCTGCCACTTATCGCGTGCTAGTCCTCGCTACTTGTCCCGCCTTGTGGTCCCACCGGTACTTGTCCCATTGGCGGTCCCACCGATACTTGTCCCTGATACCATTATTTTGGCTTAGCCCGACGTGGCCCATGATACTTTTTCTCATGGTGCCCCGTTTTTTTTTGGCGTCTACCGCCCTATGGTGGCCTCCTTTCTCTATCTTCTCTCAAGCCTTGCGCGCGCCGGTCTCACCGACCGTGGGGCCTCCACTCTGTGGTTTCCGTTGATTGTCGTTGGTGGTCCCCACGTTGGCCCCTTACTCTCTAGTGTCCCGCGGCCACCAGGGCTGTCCACCTTTCGGCTTCACTATTCTCTTGTCATCTGCCGCGCCTTACTTGCTCAGTTCATTGCCCCTCGGGTCCTTGCCATGCCGGATTTGAATGGCCCTCTTGACCCCATGCTATGCCCTTTTTCGCCTACGTCCTGTCACTTACTTGCTTGCCATTGCCGGGTCCTTCACCCTGCGGTACTCAGCCCAGGGCATCATTCCTCACGGCGGTCCCGTCCTAGTCCTTTGTCTCTTTTCTCTCTCTTATCTCCTCTCTCCGGATTTCTCTATCGTGCACAACTTGGCTATATATCGGTTCTCAAATGCCGGGACGTTATTCGGGATCCACAGATCCCGACACCGGGTTGAATTGTCGGGGTGTATTCCCGGGCCCCTGTCTCTCCTGTTGAAATGAAAAGTTCTAGTCTCCCAAAAAAAAAAAAAAAAAAAAAAAAAAAACCTATGATGGTATCTGGGCTGGATTCGAACTTGAGTTTGCATTTCAACAGTGAAGGGGTGTACCAACTGAGCTAGGCCCGCTGGTGATTTGTGGTATTTTGCTCATCTGCTTCCACTAGAGTTCGAACAGTGCAGGGTTGCACCAACCGAGGGCCTACTTACACTACCACGATCTTAAATGTGCCCGACCGCATTTACGGGCGGAATTATATGCATCTGGCCACAGTTCCGTTCAGAAATAAGTAAGAAAGTGGACCGTTTCTTGATTTATGTGTGTCATCCTTGCATTCCATGCACAGGGGCCATGCTAATCTTCGTTGTGAGGACTGGCTGGTGCGTTCGGGTATGGCTGAACATTTTTATTTTTTTCTGTGGTTCAACTCTCTGGGTTCAGTATACCACCAGTGCAGTGACATGACCCTTCTTCAAGTTTTATCTCATTCCCGCCTCAGCACCGTAGTTTCGCCACGATGGGTCCGACTTGTAACTATGAAAGGAAGGATAGGGGCCTGTAAGATGCTTCCCCTGGGCTTAGGGAAAATGAGGCCCGCACGTCGGTTGGATGGGACAGACCTAGTGCCTCGTTTTGTACATTTTTTTTTGGGGGTGGGGGCACTTGGTGCAGTTGGTGTTGACGCGGCTTTATCAACAAGTTCCTTTTTAGCTAAATTTGTTTCGCGCCGCGCCGTCAATTGCAAAGTAGTGTATATTTCCATGTTCTAGCGGAAGATTCATTCCGATTTTGCTCATCCTATTGATGGAAGTAGCCTCTCTTTATCTCTTTGCGTGCACGGCTGGAAAACTCTCTCCCTCTTTCACACACACACACACACACACACACACACACACACACACACACACACACACACAAGATTCATTCGAGCAGTCTATATTTCCATGTTCTAGCGGAGGATTCATTTCAATTTTGCTCATCCTAGTGATGGAAGTAGCCTCTCTCTATCTCTTTGCGTGCACGGCTGGAAAACTCTCTCCCTTTCTCTCTCTCTCTCTCACACACACACACACACACACACACCAAAAAATAAATAAATAAATAAAAAAGGTGGGGGAGTGTGTATTTCCATGTTCTGGCTGAAGATTCATTTCGATTTTGCTCATCCTACACACACAGACGGACATTGCCACGCTTCACCAAATGAGCAAAATGGGATTGAATCTTCCCCTATAACATGGAAGTATCCACAGCCACAACATGGAAATATACACTGCCAAAGACCGAAAATGTGCCAGTGTATACTAGCGACAGATTGATTCCCATTTTGCTCATCCTATGGATGGAAATCTCTCTCTCTCTCTCTCTCTCTCTCTCTCTCTCTCTCACGGCGACATTTGCATTTGACAGCTCCTTAGTCCATTCTCACACCGGGATTTCTTTTCAATGTATCTGTCCGCAGTGACGGGCATACTGACTTCTGGGACCTTTGGGGGCATACTACACTGGGACTTCGGGCAACTTAGGGCACACTCACACTCTGACTATCCTTACGATATACTGACACTGAGACCCTCTGGGACGTACTCATACTGGGACTTCGGGCAACTTAGGGCGCTCTGACACTCTGACCATCCATACAGCATACTGACAATGGCACCTTTTGGGACAAATGTCGGGACTTGGGGTGACTTGGGACACAATCGATTTTTCTTGGAATGTATTTGACAAAATCTCTCTCTCTCTCTCTCTCTCTCTCTCTCTCTCTCTCTCTCTCTCTCTCTCTCTCTCTCTCTCTCAGGCACGGGTGAGCGCGCCGCGTCGTTGGTGCCGCAGGGTCACATGCCAGCGCCCTGCCTGCTGCGGCATCGCCTGTGACTTGTTACTGTAATGAAAAGTAACAAGAACACACAAGCTGGACATTTCAGGCAAAGTCTCCCCAACGTGTGTGTACAGGAACTCTGCAGTCACCATCGGGCTGCCTCTCCGCACCAAACAAGCATGGGATGCATCTTGTGACACCATTCTACTGCAGACTTGTTGCAGACGCAGAATTGAGAATTCTGAAAGAAATTGTTTCTTCATTGATCACCTTGACTCTTTCACTCTTTGTTTCCCCCTGTTCATTATCTGCCAGTTTGTCAGCCTCTGATTATGTTTGAACTCTGAATGGCACACATCAAGCTGATAACCACCACCCTTTGCTGCCTTGCATATTTGGTATGAGAAAACTTAGTTTCGCTGGTGTAACTCAACTGAATTTCACTGACGTAACAAGTTGCTACGGTCTTCTCTCGAATAGGCCATACGGTCATTATACCTGTATTCGGCCCCACTTTCGGGCCGGATGCAGCAAAAATGAAAATACGTTCTGTTCGGGTGAAGACGGTAACAAGTTACTAACAACTGAATTTCACAGGTGTGATGGGTAGACAGTTGAGACAAGGTATCCACAGGTGCATTTAGACAGGTGTTTCATTTTTTGAATTTTTTTCTTTCCTTTCCCCCTTTTTTTTTTATAACTTGGGAACGTTTCTTGATTTATGCGTGACATCCTTGAATGCGCAGGGGCCATGCTAATCTTCTCTGTATCGATGTCCAGAAGGACAGGATTTAGACTCATGTTCTTTTTCTTCGAAACAGCATATCTCAAATCAAAGAATAGAATGACTGGCGCACAGATTCTCAAACTACGTCTACCGCTCCTTTGTATAATTTGCTTGGTTGTTCGCAGTGGAACTGCAGCACCTGTGCTTTTTCATCAATGAGCTCAAAGAGAAGTTTCCACTGGTGCTCCTTCAAGTCAGAAATTATATGACAGGAGTGGAAATGGAAAAACACCCATGCATTGAAATCCTCCACATGCACAGATCAATCGACGAAACACTCGAAAGGCACCGAACAATACCCCCAACACCGACGAGCCAAGCTGAAAAATCCATGTCAAGACATTTACTTGTCAACAGGGATAGATATCTAACCTTCTGGTGTGTACATTTCCGGAGGGATTTTGTACGGAACCGGGAACTTTATGATCTTCTGCTCCAGCAAATGGCTGCTTCCTGCCCCCTCATCATCATCATAACATAAAGATACCAAGGATACCTGCACCACCTCTCCTCCTTCCTGCTCATCTCCACTCTCACCACCTGCCTCCAGTCTTCTGCAACCTCGCTGCTTCATCGAACTCACAGGAAGACTTGCATGAGGACCTGGGTCTCTCTGAGCACGGCACAAACGTCAGTGTCAGTCAGCCGGATTCCCTACCGTCTTCACCCGAGTACAAGGAACGCTCATTATGAATGTACACAAGCTACCTTTCCAGCCCGGTACAGTCGTAAAAAGCGTACGTGGTATTCAGGGGAAGACTGGCGCAATTATTAATTGCAAGCGGCTGCCAAGCACAAACCGTGTGCTCATTTGTGTAAGTACGGCTCGCTGCCGCACCACACATGAGCAGTGCACGACTTGTGTGCACATCAAAAAATATGAAAAGCAAATTCAAAACATAAAAAAACAAATAATAAATAAATAATATCTGACGTACAACATTGTTTCGACGAACTTTTGGCTGAGAGAATTTCTCAAAAACGTTCTTTGAAATATGAATTTGCAAAAATAGAAGAAAAACGAGGCGGCGAGGCCCCTGCGAAAGGATGGCAAGGATAAATCGAGAGCTGGTAAAAAAAAAGGAAAAATCTTTTATTTGTTAAGGTCGTTTTTTTGTCACTGACTGACCGCTAGTTTTTCTGCACAGCACCATACACAGCAGGTCACATGCACAGTGCACATGTGCACTAGCAACTTAGCAAGTCTTATGCTCGTGATTGATGTGCAAAATAAAACACGAGTTAAAACTCAAGGGTCAATTTGTCAAAACAGAGACCAAAATTCACTAAATAGTAAATAGTAAATATATCGTCAAACAGAACTGTCCGGTAAACCATAGGCAGAGAGGGAGAAGAGGACAACAAACAGACGAGGGACCGTGACTTCTAGAACTTTGGTTGCCTAGATGTGGTCCTGCTTCACCACTTTTTATACCATATATTTTTGAAAACGAGGTTGTGCCGCCACATGGGAGCCTTTGCTTCTTCCGATATTATTTCTTTCTTTTTGATATTACGAAATTTTGTAGGTTTTGAATTACAGCGTATCTCCCGAAGAGTTCTTTCCTTTTCATTTTCAAGATTGCACTGTGTATTATGCAATCAGACTCAACTCTGGACTTGCTCACAACATGCACACTTGAGCACCGATGGCAAACCAAGCTCTTCCAACTCAGAAACAACAATGAACTTGCTCTTAAACTCTGTTCAGAACAAGTGTACAACTTGCGGCTATGGCCGCCGAACACAGTCTCTACCACCAGCCTCACTCTCCCTCACTCTCAGATGCATGCACGTACGAGGATCACCCTGAATGCCCCCACTCAGCACAGCCTCACACACTCTGTACACTTGTCTACACCAACAGCTGGGCGGCTGTGGCCGCTGTCGTCTTCCTCCTCCTAGCTATGGCCGCTGGTGTCTCCCTCGCTGGTTCGCTATGGCCGCTGTCTTCTTCACAGCCCACTTCTTCTCCGGGCACCTGCAGACCTCCACGCACAAGATACCAAGGCAGCTCTTCCGCATGGCTCACAGGCGAATGAATGAATGGCTGGACGCTGCCTCTTTATTTATACTTCTTTGGAAGTACCCGGGCCTGCCTCCAAACGTGTGGGCCTGGGCCAAAACGTGTGGCCCAGGGAAGTTTCCAGACGTTTGGCCTTCTGGGCCAAAACGTGTGAAACCCACAGCGTGCTCCAGAACCTTCCCCACGTGCAGCCCTTACCCCTGGTACTTGCT